GCGCAGGACTCATTAGATGGCAGATTGAGTTGTGGGGACATGGCCTGTCCAGTAGGCGCAGGACTCATTAGATGACCGTTAGATTGAGGAGACTGGTATGGGTTGGCAGGTAGACATGTTGGACATGCTCCACACGTGATCTGCAGACTGGACATGACTGGAAAAGAAGCCAACATTGGTTAGAATGTTTGCTGGACCTGGGTCTGGAGCTCAGCCTTGGTACCCACCACACTTAGCTTTCTAGATAAGCTGCCGTTGCGATTTCTAAGCTATCAATTGCTCTGTAACAGGCTTGAATGTTTACACTTTATAAGGATTAAAAATGAGTGTTATGAAAAGACACTCACTGAAGAAAATTACATTTTCTGGCCAACTGTGTGTGTGTGTGTGTGTGTGTGTGTGTGTTGCTCAGAGACCAGTGGTCAGCCTCATGCATTATTTCTCAGATGCTTTCTGCCTCTTTTTGGAGACAGGGTCTCTCACTGGCATGGAGAACACTGATTAAGCTAGGCTGGCTGGCAGATGACCCCCAAGGGTCCTTCCTGTCTCCACCTCCCCAGCACTGGGATTAAGAAGTCAGGTCCCAGTGCCTGGCAGTGCAGAGACTTTATTGGGTTAGCCGGCTCCCCAACCCTTCGGCTAATTTCAGCTTTCCTTCCCGCATGCTGGAGCCATATATACAGGAGAGGTCACTGCTCTTCTGACCACCATGCTAGAGATATGTCTGAGATAGGCCTTAGCTCAGCTATTTTGGGGCCAACATCAGTGGGCAGATGCCCTATGGTCGGTAACAGGTCTCCTCTGGTGGCTTCTTGGCCAGCATACACCCTTCATTGGCCATGAGGGAAGATAGGCACATGGTCAGAATACATGGGCAGGAACAGATAAGCCCAGGACTTGGAGGAGAAACCCCTCCCTGCAGCAGGACAGGCTCCTGAGCTCACTGTCCAGTCGTCAGCGGCTCTGTAACCGTAGCGTGTAAGGACTAGGTGACATGCAGGGCTAGGTTTATGTATGCACACAGTGACGTTTAGCAGAAACTTCTGAGAAGTGAAACCAAGTATAAAATTTATGGTAAGAAGAAATGTAAAGGTGCAAGAAAGAAGACCTGCTATATATGAGTTGCTTTTATTTTTTTGTAGAAAAGTTAGTTTGACTTGCTAGCAGATAACAGCCAATAGAAGAGATTTCTAAAAGTATGAACGGTGATAAAAGGAAATGAATGGGCTGGTGAGATGACTCGGTGGGTAAGGATGCTCGCAACCAAGTCTGGCAAACTCAGTTTGACTTCTGGTACCACATGGTAGAAGGAAAGAATTGACTCCTGCACACTGTCCTCTGACCTCCACATGTGCACTGACACACACACACACACACACACACACACACACACACACACACACACACACAAATGAAGTATAGAAAAAAGATAAATTAATCACAAATAGAGTAAATAGGTCACTGGTAACAATAATGTATGTATTCTTTAACTAGAATTTTAGGCACTAATTCAGACATTCCTACTGTGTGGTGTCAGAATGCAAGAGGCCATGGAAAGTGGAAGAGGCAGGCCTCGATTCTAGTTCTTGCTTTAGCTCCAGGATGCATTAATTTCGTCAGTCTGGACCTCATTTTCGAAACCACATGGTGACAGGAGTGTGCTGATCCCCGTGTTTATAAGGGGCACAATGACTCAGTCACCGAACACAAAGACCTTCCCAGGTGGAGATGGCCGCTTCCCACTCTGTATCGTGTGTGCACCTATTAGACCCCTCTTAGTGGACGGGGGGCCAGGTGAGGCTTACCTGCAGCTGGGCTGCACAGCTCTCGCAGCACACAGTGTGGCCACAGGGGCAGAAGGTGGAGTTGATCTCCTCCTCGCAGCACACCATGCACAGCATGGCCTCCTTCAGCTTGCGCAGCTTCTCCTGCAGCACTCTGGTCTGCTGGCAGCTGAGGCCCTCACAGCTGCTGCAGCTCATGCTGCTGTTGGAGGACTTCAGAGGCGAGCTGGGGGGGCTCTGGTCGCTTCGGGAGACAAGGTCCACAACACCGGCGTTGTACAGAGCCCGCCTGGCGTGGTCGTATACCTCCTTGGATGTTCTTTTGATGTCAAAGACATACTTCTTGCCAAGGTTAATGTTCTCATTGAGAAAGAGAGATGCCAAGTGGCCCTTCAAGTCACGACTGTACTGCATCATGACGGCGCTGGTGACGGTGTCACACCTGAAGGTAAGCGTGGACATCTGATTGAATATTGAGAAGCCTAGGAAGCTTCATAACTCAGACTATCAGATGCTGTTATCAATAAAAACAGTGTATCAACAGACATTCAGTGCTCGGTCTTCTATCTTGTCATTATCATTCATCTATCAATCTATCTTCTATTTATCTATTTATTAATTATCTACTATAATCCATCCATCATCTATCTATCCAGCATCCATCTATCTGCCTACTTATTTATTTGCTTTTAGAGATTTTGTAGGTCCTAGAACTCTCCACGTAGACCAGGATGACCTTTAACTCATAAAGATCCACCTTCCTCTGTCTCTGAGTGCTGCAACTAAAGGCATGTGCCACCACATCCAGCTTTGTTTTTTCTCCCTTGAGACAAGGTATCATGTGACCCAGGCTGGTCTTGAACTATGTTGCCAAGGATGACCTGGAGCTTCATGATCCTCCTGCCTCCACCTTCTGAGTGCTGCTGGGATTACAGACATGTACACCGTGTCCAGTGCATGTGGAGCTTCATGCATGTTAGGTTAGCACTCTATGGACTGAGATACATGCCTTACCAAGACAGTTAATATTCTTGTGTGCATGTCTAAGCTCTTTCCATTTTATATGCTTAGTAGCTCGATGACTCTACCTCTGTGCTTCTCAGGGGTCTCCAAGTACCTCCAAGGAAGCAGCTGTAAATATGGAGATGGGTTTCCACAGCTCCTCCGGGCTGTGAGCTGCCATCTAGCAGTTTGTGGAGGCAAAAGGACATGTCTCTTTGAAGTTTTGGCTTTTACATTAAACATGTCTACAAATTTTCTGTTCTGCTCCATAGTCTATTTTAACATAACAAAATTTGAAGGCTTCCTCTGAACTACATTTTTCTCTTTAATTTTTTCTAAGTATGAGCCTAATCACAACTCAGCTTGAAAGTACCCTCTAGAAGGTAGTTTAAAAATCCTCGCTGTGGCCGGGTGTAGTGGTGCATGCCAGTGATCCTAGAAGTCAGGAAGCCAAGCCTGGAGGACCGCAGATGAGTTTGAGGCCAGCCTGAGGTATGTAGTGAATTTCAGGCTGGCTTTGGACACGCAGTGAGATTTTGTCTTCAAAAACACCAAGTAAAATGAAATTCAACTTAAAAAAAAGTATCCGAGTGTGTAAGGGGTGAGGGCTTAGGACAGGGAAAGACCTGTGCCGCTGTTCTGGGAAAGGACACAGCCACGGCAGAACAGGCCCAAGGACAGGGGTTAGGCTGGGAGGCGGTTGTGGAAGGAAATAAAGTGAGAGCAGAGCAGGAGACTGGAAGTGAAGCACAGGTACACGCCATTCCATGCCGATGAGGGCTCCACCAGCACCGCGAAAGGAAGGCTCAGAGTGGCTATTCTCTCTTATTCCTTCCGTACAAGACTCTCGGACTCAGGGCGAGGAGAAGTCACAGCCACCTGCCAGCCACCTAAATACACTAAGGGGCGACCTAAGCTCAGGAGACGCATGGCGGTACGTGCCTGTAGAACGCGTGCGTTTCCGTGATGGCGCGGTAGAGCCCACTGGCTGCCCGGGTGCTGATCATTTTAAACAGGAGCACGATGCTGTTCCCAGACTCCTTGGTGACGGTCAAGTAGACGTTCTTTCCTGACTGGGTGGCCATTTGTACCACAGGATAAGCTATCCTGAAAGGCAGGAGGAGAAAAGTGAGCAAACACAGAAGGGACAGCTCAGCATGGCGTTGACGTGCCCTTGTAGGCTGCCCGTGACCTGGCCGTGCACCAGACACTCAGCCTGGGGTGTTCTGTGATGATTCTAACTAGTTATACTGATGCAGGACCAGCAGTTGGGGCATGGAAACAAGTGTTGGAGTGCCCTCGGGGTGTGTGTGTGTGTGTGTGTGTGCAGAACCAGATACAGGTATTTATGGCCTGAGCCATGATGAAAAATAATAATTCTGCCACACTAATGTACTTTAAGTTAGCATTTAAGAAATAATTAAATAGTTAAGTCTTGAATGCAATTAATAAATAAATTAAAAATGAATCACTTCATTGATAGAGGTGTCTAGTGATTTTCTGTCCATTTTGTATTTTCAGAAAAAAGCAACAGGTGATAAACATGCTTATGATTGTGCGCATGCATGCGTGCATGTGTGTGTGTGTGTGTGTGTGTGTGTGTGTGTGTGTGTGTGTGT